TTTAAAACTTTTTAGTACAGTGACAGAGTAACTTTATATCTGTTGACACTAATGATCAAAAATTGGGATTGTATTTTATATCTTTATACTTCATTTCTCTATGAATTTAATTGTATTATATTTTACAAAATTATTAGTTCATGATGGATTGGAGTTAAAAAAATATAAACTGGTCCTTCACCACTAACACTTTGAGATTTGGGGTACACTATGACTAAACTTTCCCTGGAGAGATAGAGAAAACCTCCCAGAAGAGATTATTCTGGAGCAGAAACCTCAAAGATAAATAGATTTGTCAGGAAAACAAGGAAAGGCATTACAGGAAAGAAAAAGTGGATATGTCAAGGCTCAATGTCCCACCACAGCAAGGTACTCACAGCAAGTAGTTTGGTATGGTTGGCATAGGTACTGGGTTCAGGGGCAAGGGGACTAATAGGAGATGCAATTGGAAAACAGCCTTATAGCAAAGTTTAAATTTCACATTTCAGGCAAAGAGTAGTAGGTAGGGAACATAGCTTTTCTGAGGCTGCTCTGGCTACTATAAGCCTGCCAGGCCGCGCGCCTTGTCTCCTCGCGCCCTTCGCAGAGACTCGTCCTCCTCCCTTTCCCACTCACCTTCCCGGGCGGCTCCGCCGCTCCCCCCTGACCCCGCCAGCGGCCACAGTTCACACACACCGCCTCAGGACCCGCACTCACTCTCCCTCACTCACACACAGCGCGACCACGGCTCCAGGGCGGCCCACATATTATGCGTCACTCGCGTGCTACGTGCCCCGCGCGCGCGCCCCGATTTGGCGCGAGGCTCGCTAGCAGGAGGCGGGAGGAGAACGCCAGCGCGAGCGGAGGAATATGGACGTGCCCTAGAGCCTCCTGGGAAATGAAGTTCCGCTTCTAGGGGCGGGCCCGCCAGATTTAATTGGCGCATGAGCACTTTGCTCCTGCGCATTGAGTTCTGGGATTTGTAGGTTTTCAAGCGGAACGCGAACTGCTGTGGACTCATTGGCTGCCTCGGAAGACGGAAGCAAAAAGTGAAGACTACGATCAGAGCGCCTGCAGTGCAATCCAGTATTGTAGGCGCTTGATACCTTCTCAGTACCTTAATATACCCTGTGTGACAGAGAAAAAAAGCCTTTATTTTTTCTCTCATTATTGATTGAACATATCAGGACCTAAGAAAGCATTTTCCACAAGCATATAAGAAATCACAGCACTCATTAAAAAGAAGCCTCTGGTTTTCCTTTGTCTTTCTGTTCAAGATCTTGCCTGTAAGATCAATAAATATCCCTGGGTACTATATATGAAGCAGAGAAAAGGAAAAAATTCAAAGGCCGTATATTAAGGCAGGGCTGACCCCAAAGGTCATCTAATTCCTCTGTTTCGCAGCTAGGAAGAGGGAGGCCCAGAGTGAGTGACACCTAACATCACACAACCAATTAGCAGCAGAACCAGAACGACTCCTGACACGGATCCCACAAAGGATCCCTTTGTGGAGACATGAAAGATAAATGTGACTCCACACAGAGCAGAATCTCTCCCTTACAAGATCCTCCCCAGCCTTTATCTCCGGGAGTCCTAAGCGAGTGTCTGTGCATTGCTACAAAGTCCTCAGAGCTGACACTTACACATGGGGAACACGGGACACAGCAAACCTGCTGCCATGCTTAGGTTCCACAGCTAATAGGTAGCTAGCCAGAATGCGAATGCTGGGTCTCTTGATTCTGCTCCGGATTGGACCCGTACCCTCTTTCCAAAAGAGGAACATCCATTTCACTTAAGTGTGTAACTTGGAGCAGCTGCTCAGGCTCAAAATTCTAGAATATGGGGTGGCAGTGCCACAGACATGTCACCCCTCTGCAACCCTTTCAACTGCCACAACACAGCTTTCTTCTCTGTGCTTCTGGAACTCTGCCTATGTCAATAATGGCCACTATCATTTCTGTTGGCATTACAGCAGGCTCAGATCTGAGCAAAGGGTTTTACCCACACTCTTTTATATAACCGTCACTACCGTCGCACAGGGTAGATACAGTCAGCCACCTGTACAGATGAGAAATCTGAGCATAGAAAGGTGGCCCAAGAATTGGGGCCCAGGTTTGTGGATCCAGAGGCCGGGCTCATAACTTTGCCATGCCTGTCCTCCATCAGTCCTTCAACTGACTGTCCTGCGGTGCCACCTTGGGCCATGAACCCAAAATGCATAAAGATGGAATATTCGAGCCTTAACTACCATCCCTCTGTCCATGGTCTATCCAGTGCAGTGGTGACTTCCCCACTGAGTGGGGTCCTGAAAGGCAGAGTCCTTGTGAGAAGCCAGGACTAACTCACCTGTTCCCGGCACAGCCTCAGCCTGCCACCAGATGGCACTGCTCCCCTTCAGGAACCTAGCCTGGGGCCCTAGGTCAGTAATAGGAGTGAGGGGCTTTGGAGAAACCAGGGCCCAGGAGGCTGGGGAAGCAGAGCAGGAGCTAGCTACACAGGGCTTATCTAGAAGCTGCTCACTCCAGAATCTCTACTCTGTAACACCTACAGCCCCTCTACCCCCGCTAACAACCCCGCCCCCACCACACACAGCCACACACCTGCAGGCACTCCTATACCCCAACTCTGGGAAGGGGAAAGGACAGCACCCAGGTTTTCTGGGCTGCACACACATTCCAACCATGCTCACTAACACCTTTCACAGGATTGCCATGCATGACAGATATACAAGCATACACACCTATGCATTGGCACAGGCAACATTTTCCAAAGTATACACAAGCACAAAGCCACAGAAAATCCAGACCCACACATCCGGCTTGGCCTGGCACATTGCTTCTGAATCGTCGGAGATTCCTTGGCCTCTTTAGAAGAGCATCTCAGGACTCTGCCCCCCACCCCACATTCTGCCTATGCACACCCCCATGTGTGCCTCAGAAAGCAGCAGCTACCATCTAAAAGGGCCAGGAGTGGTGCTTTCAGGGCTGCCCAGTGGCAGAGAAAGGGCAAGAGCAGTCCAGCCCTGGCCCCAGCACCAAGACCACAAACTTAGGTATGTTCTACCTGCCCTCGCCCGCGAGCAGGGCCATGCCCTGGGTGGGAGTACCCATGCCATGGGTAAGAAATTTGATAGCACCAAATTCTCTCTTCCCTCCTCCCCCTCTTCACCCTTCCACTACCCCTTCCCTCCCATCATCTACTTCCCGGCTCACCTGACCCAGGCGCTCTCACCAACCCATCCCTATCCTGGTGCCACCACGATCCCTGTGCCTCCTCCTAGGGTGAGGGGGCCCGGTCAGCTGTCCCACATCTACTCCCACTCTGCAGGCTGAACAAGACTGCTACTACAAGTGTCCGGGGTCACAGGCGCCACCAAGGAGAGACTCAGCACCGCCAGGCTCTGAGGACCCTGGCCTGGACAAAGAGGGAATTCCAATCATTCATTCAGTGCCCTCCCCCTCCCTGGGAGCCCCTACAGCCTCCTCGAAAAATGGAACACAGGTCTCACTGCCCAATAGCTGTGCAAGTCACCCACTCCAATGACTACATCTTTGTCCACCAGTCTTGTTTGACAGAGGGAGAAACTGAGGCTCCGCGAAGACAACAGTTTAAGCCCACGCCTTGTCCAGTGGCCGCAGCAGCTGGAAGGCAGTCCCCACTTCATGTCCCACAGGTATAACTTCATAGAGGGGCCTGAGGCTCAAGTGGGGAATGAAGTAGCCACTCCCGGCCTGAGTCAAAGCCAGGAGCCCCCAGCAGAGCCCCATGCACTATTTAAGGCATACTTACATTAAAAAAAATTGCCATTTATCTGAAATTAAAATCGAACTGGTCATATTTTATCTGGCAACCCCACCTCAGAACCACCGCTCAGTCTCAGACCCCAAAGACTCCCATCCTGCGGCCCCCAGGGCCTCATTTGTATCATCTGCAAAACAGTTAGACGCAAATCAGAACAGCTGCCTCCCAATCGGTCTCATTAAAGATTAAACAGACCAAACAGTAAAGGCTCCCTTATCCAAAAGCTGATGATCTGGGTGATAGCGGGCTCAAATTCTTCCCTTCTACCTTTCTCTTTTTACCCCTATCGCTAATGGTCAGGCATGAGAAATAATTTTCCCTCTTTATTGGGAAGAGTTTGCAGGAGACGGGTCGCTCAGCAGTTGAGTCCAGCTTTGGAGGCGAACAGACCCCCCTGCTAAAACCAGTGCTTCCATTCAGCAGCTGTGGGACTTTTGTCTAATTACTTCACCTCTCTGAGCTTCAGTTTCCCTGGCTGGAAAATGGAAATGATATACCTTCTTTCTAACATTGTTATGGGGGTTAAATGTGATAATGCTTAGTTGGGGCCTGGCACACAGAAGTACCAGCGGAGTGCTGGCTCTTCCTGTTTTGATTATTATTTGTCCATGGCTTGTCCCCATTGCAGTTCTTCGGGACTACTCCAGCCCTGGCTGGTTTATCCCTCCCTCCAATACTGCATGCTGGAAGAGCTCGGGCTTTCCTCACTTAAATGTGAAATGAGCTTCTTATCAAAAAACAAATCCTGAGATAACAGTTTCAGAAGCCTTGGGAAGTAGTGGAGTTGCCACTCTTGGAGACCAGCTGTCCACGCTCTGTCTCAGCCCAGAATTGAAAACTGACTGGGTCAGAGGCTGGATTTAAGAGGATCTGCTCCTGGGCCTCCTCGTGCCTGCAAGGGCTACTGCTACTCAAGGGTGAAGGCTTTCAAGGCAAGGAGCCCCTAGGATACAAAACCAGACATGTCACCGTCCCCAAACCAACCATCGACCCTGCCTCCTGCTGGGATGAAGCATCGCAAACTCTTGCCCAGAGCACACTTGCTTCCTTCCCTAGGGTCCTCTGGCAGGATGATGATGTCACAATCAAAGCAGAGACCAAAGAAGAGGGCCAGTGGATGCTCACAGTGGACCTGCCCAGCACGAAGAGGGCTTTAGCAAGAGGAGGACCAAATTCTGCCCTCTCGGTAACCCCAGGACCTGTCCAATCTCCAGTCTAGCTACCAGTTACACCTGCCGACTCACAGGGCCCTGCCCTTCCCAGAGGCTTGGCTCCAGGTGAGAGTTAGAGGTTAGAGGAACAGGTGCAGGGAAGATAAGGAGAAAGCATGCCCAGCCTCTTTGGCCTCAGGTTTCTGGATTCGTAAATCTTTCTGGGAAGAAACAACAGTGGAGGCAGCGTTGGAGAGAAAAGTCCTTGGATTTTTGACAATGCCTGTTTGTAAGAAGGTACTCTGGGGACTGCTGAGGCTGACCCTGATGAAGACTCGGGTCACATAAAGCTGCCCGCTCTATCAGTTCTTTCGCGTAGAAAAGCCTAGAGAAGAATGGCCTTGTCTAGTGGGAGGAGGCTGCTCGACACCTAATTCAAAGGTCAGAGACCCACAACCACCACCTGGAGTAAACCACCTCCTGCCCCTGCCCAACCCTGGCTGCGATAGGCCTGGACCTTCGAGAGGTATTGCCAGATCTAACCAGGAGAACCCACTCGGGCCTGGGAGCCGAAGTCATCAAGGAGAGGTGTTTTTAAGTGTAGAGGGTTCCTGGGCTCTTACTGTGAGGCAATTTCTCTTCATTCCCTCAGGGAGGGGTGTCTCTCCATGAAAAGTCATCTGATGTTCCTTGAGGGGTGTCCCTCTGCCCAGCTCCTACTTCACCAGGCCCAAGCTTGTCACAAGATAGCTTTTAGTGAAGTCACAAAGCTGGCTGTCACATGACCAGGGACTAGTGGGAATTACTTGGGGACTTCAGAAGTGGTCTTTGGACTCCGGAGAGGAGTGTGGGGTTTGGAGGGGCTCTAGCTAAAGGAGGCCAAGGGGATCTACTGGAGACCTGGAGATGATGACAGGTTTTCAGGTCTTGTTTATTGCAGGAGGTTAGAAGAGCCGGGGCCTAGGCTGTGGTCTTTGGCATGGGCCTGTCCCTCCAGACCCTGGAGAGGGGGAAAGGGAGCACCCCATCCCAGCTGAATACACATAAATGTCCTGATCACTAATGTTCTGGGTGTTCCATGGCAGAGGTTAAGACCTCCGACTGGGGACCAGATCTTTCCTCAGCGCAATTCACCCTTCCTGGTCATTGCTAGGTGACTACCCCACCTGGTCCCTGGGGCTACAGATTTTTCTGCATTGATAGGCAGCGCTGATAGCCTGGGGGCGCTGTTGCCTGCTGGCCTGCGCAGAGGAAGAAGAATCCCAGGCAAAGTCGGAGTGCTCGCACCCACTCTCTCCAGAGGGT